TGGTGTGAGTCGTTCGGGCCCCTCCTTGTGTGTGAGTCGTTCGGGCTCCTCGTGGTGTGAGTCGTTAGGGCCCCTCGTCCTGGTGTGAGTCGTTCGGGCACTTCCTTGAGTGTGAGTCGTTCGGGCTCCTCGTGGTGTGAGTCGTTCGGGCCCCTCGTCCTGGAGTGAGTGGTTCGGGCCCCTCCTTGTGTGTGAGTCGTTCGGGCTCCTCGTGGGTGAGTCGTTCGGGCCCCTCGTCCTGGTGTGAGTCGTTCGGGCTCGTCCTTGTGTGTGAGTCGTTCGGGCTCCTCGTGGTGTGAGTCGTTCGTGTCCCTCGTCCTGGTGCGAGTCGTTCGTGCCCCTCCTTGTGTGTCGCACTTTCGGGCGCCTCGACGTGTGAGTCGTTCGGGCCCTTCGTCCTGGTGTGATTCGGTCGGGCCCCTCCTTGTGTGTGAGTCGTTCGGGCTCCTCGTGGTGTGATTCGTTCGGGCCCCTCGTCCTGGTGTGGATAGTTCGGGCCCCTCCTTGTGTGTGAGTCGTTCGGGCTCCTCGTGGTGTGAGTCGTTCGGGCCCCTCGTCCTGGTGTGAGGTCGTTCGGCCCCCTCCTTGTGTGTGAGTCGTTCGGGATCCTCGTGGTGTGAGTCGTTCGGGCCCCTCGTCCTGTTGTGAGTCGTTCGGGCCCTCTGGTGTGAGTCGTTCGAGCTCGTCGTGGTGTGAGTCGTTGGGCCCCTCGTCCTGGTGTAAGTCGTTCGGGTTCCTCCTTGTGTGAGTCGTTCGGGTTCCTCGTGGTGTGTGTCGTTCGGGCCCCTCGTCCTGGTGTGAGTCGTTCGGGCCCCACCTTGTGCGTGAGTCGTTCGGGCTCCTCGCGGTGTGAGTCGTTCGGGCCCCTGCTTGTGTGTGAGTCGTTCGGCCTCCTCGTGGTGTGAGTCGTTCGGGGCCCGCGTCGTGGTGTGAGTCGTTCGGGCCTCTCCTTGTGTGTGAGGCGTTCGGGTTCCTCGTGGCGTGCGTCGTTCGGGCCTCTCGTCCTGGTGTGAGTCCGTCGGGGCCCTCCTTGAGTCGTTCGGGCTCCTCGTGGTGTGAGTCCTTCGGGCCCCTCGTCCTGTGGTGAGTCGTTCGGGCTCCTCCTTGTGTGTGAGTCGTTCGGGCTCCTCGTGGTGTGAGTCGTTCGGGCCCCTCGTCCTGGTGTGAGTCGTTCGGGCCCCTCCTTGTGTGTGAGTCGTTCGGGCCCCTCGTGGTGTGGGTCGTTCGGGCCCCTCGTCCTGGTGTGAGTCGTTCGGGACCCAGACATATATGAAAAGAGAAAACTATACGTGTCAAATTCGACAGCATTGCCCACTTTGTGTACACTGACAAAAAAACAACCCCCAAGGAAACTCTGCAGAACCCAACTACGCGCGTGCGCTCCAAGACGCCCGATTGAAGCCACTGGCTCCCCCTTTAACCATCTCGTCTACCCCATGCGCCTCTTGTCCACCGGCACAGCACGGTGGCGGAGTGGGCCAGAGGCCATTAGGATACTCCCAAGGGTGGTGGGCGGAGACGCCAAAGGCTTCGAAAACCGCGAGGGGGGGAGGATAAGGGAGAAGAAAAGGACGGAGAGGGAGGGCTCGGAGGCCCTTGGAGGGGGGGTGTGCCCATCCGAGGGAACGGTGCACCCCCCCCTCCCCGTCATGAAAACGAGGCACCGGCCGTGGCAACGACCCCCCCCCTATCCCCCCCCGCGACCTGAGTAGACCACCCAGGCCAACGGGGGACGTCATAGGGGGCGGGGGTTCTGACTTCGATGAAAGAAGAAGGAGGAAAGCGGGAGGGAAGGATCAAACAGACGAAAGCCCTTTTAGGCTTTACCCAGCGTGTGGACATGCCCTTTTTGGCTTTTGCGGGGGCTAACCCGCGCGGTCGCCCGCAGGCGACAGGGCGCCCAGGCCCTCTCCGCGCGCGCGCAGGCGCGTGGCAAGCTACACGCGCACGATCGTCCGTGGAATCGAATGGTACCGTCTGCGCTCATCCGGCTCGGAACGGGTCGAATTGTTTGCTCGAGGGTCGTGCAGCCTGCCAATTTCCAGATGCAGTAGAGACTCCGCGTGTCATTCTCGCAGTTCGTGGTGCATGGTTACCGCGTGTCGAGGCTGACGTCATCCACAGCGCATTTGCCTGGCAAGCACTTGTTGGAGTTTTGGATGGCAGTACGTGCCGAGGAGGAGGTTGTCATTCCTGTTTCTTGTGGCAACGACCGAGCGTCGACATATCGTCGTCGCCCAGCAGACATTGCGGATTGTCTACCGCCACATCTAGTTCGTGCAATCAAATTGAACGCCGTGAGAGCCATAGAGTTCGCGGAAGAGGGCCTCACACAGAAGTTCGCTCCCTTTGCCAAAGGGCAGAGGCAGGATGGCTACGGTGAGTTGAACTGCATGAGGAAACTCGTCGCACAGTTAGGTACGAAAGAGCCTCCCCCTCCCGAGCGGCCCAGCACTTCCTGGAAAGCTTGCGGTGACACGGTTTTCGCGCCCGCAGATATCGTGGCTCGGGGGTGCAGTTGCGCCCGATTGGTGAAGTTCGCCGTGCACATGTCCGTGGACTGTTGTGGCTTGGGGCCCAGCAACGTCGCTCGCAAGACCAGGTTCAACTTCGAGTCCGAGATCGTGCCGGCCTTGCTGCATGCTGCGAAGGGCAAGTTGCTTTGCGAATTGCGGACGGGGTCTGTTTGCAACGAAGATGTGGTGCGTCTGAAGGTTCACGACGACGATCTCGGTAGTGCTACCATCGTGTGCAACATGCACACGTATACTGACAGGGATGTTAGTTGGCGCGTAGATTCCGACGGCGACTTCGCAACTGACAAGCATCGCATGTTATGGATGATAAGTACGCGCGTATTGTCCCACATGGGCATCCAGGATAATGCGCTTAGCGCAGGCTGTCGAGACATTCGCGTTGCTAGCCCGCACGTTAGCCCAGATATTCTGGACACCGCCTATCGGAGCGGAGCGCTTCATGTCGTAACGGCTGCGCCGAAGAAAGATTACGTTACTCGCATCACTCTGGAGCCAGAGGTGGCTGAAGAGGGAGAGTATCTCGGCGTTCTCCTGGAATGGGTTGGCAATCGACTATACCAGCACGATGCTCTTGTCCGCAGCGCTACTGTGGAGCATACTCTGGACCAGCCCTTTGGGCGTGAGTGGTTTAGAGAGCTCTCTCTGTTCTCAACCGCCCTTTGGGCGTGATGGGGGCAGCGCTCATTAAAGCTCCCCTCTTCTTTGATCGATCTCCTCCAAGATGACCCCAAGAAGCGCCCAGGAGGCACCAGGAGGCCCCATGATGGCCCCAAGAGGCCCCCAGGAGGCCCCCAAGAGGCCCCCAAGAGGCCCCCAAGATGCCCCCAAGAGGCCCCCAAGAGGCCCCAAGAGGCTCCCCCGAGGCACCCAAGACGTTCCTGGAAGCCCCTGGGGCCGCCAAAAAGCCCCCACGACGCCCCAAACGGCCTCCAAGAGGCTCCCAAGAGGCCCGAAGAGGCTCCCCCAAGGCACCCAAGACGTTCCTAGAAGCCCCTGGGGCCGCCAACACGCCCCCAAGATGCCCCAAAAGGGGACGAGGTGCCCGAACGCCTCACGCCACGAGGAGCCCGAACGACTCACACCAGGACGAGGGGCCCGAACGACTCACACCACGAAGAGCCCGAACGACTCACACCAGAAAGAGGGGCCCGAACGACTCACACCAGGACGAGGCGCCCGAACGACTCACACCACGAGGAGCCCAAACGACTCACACCACGACGAAGGCCCCGAACGACTCACACCACGAGGAGCCCGAACGAGTCACACCAGGAGGAGGGGCCCGAACGACTCACACCAGGACGAGGGGCCCGAACAACTCACACCACGAGAAGCCCGAACGACTCACACCAGGACGAAGAGCCCGAACGACTCACACCACGAAGAGCCCGAACGACTCACACCAGGAAGAAGGGCCCGAACGACTCACACCAGGACGAGAAACCCCAAACGACTCAAACCACGAGGAGCGCTTTCTCTCCCTCCTCCTCCGCCTCGTCCTTCTCCCGCTCCCCCCACAAGGAGGATGTACAAGGAGGCGGGAGGAAGGAGGAACAGGGGAGATATGCGGGGCCAAGCGGACACACGCCTGAAAAACACGACTGTCGGCATGCTTCGCGAGAGTTGCTGCTGTGAGATGGGCTGGTGGGGATACGCGAAGCGTACAGAATTTTGTGCAAGGGTCTTTTGGTTGTCGGGCACGTGGTCCTGGGGCCCTGGGATGAAAGCACCACTCCGTCCCCAGGGGCGGGGGGGCTGCGAGGCCTTGAGTTGGCCACTCTTGGGGAACTGGGAACTGGGAGCGTTGCGCGCTCCCCCCACCCCCCCCTACCCCCCGCCGCCGTCGCCTTGTTCGAATCCGTCCGCGTTTTGTCGGAGGACGGCTCGAGCTGTTCGAGGTGTCGGTGCTGCGCCACCGCGGCCGCCAGGGCTAACTGGCTGGCCACGGACTGCGCGGTGCTCGAGGAGGCCGGCGGGGGATGCTCGGGCCACCGCAAGGGTTCAGAGTCCACGTAGGGGGGGGGGGCTCGTTCACGAGTCTCATAAAATGTTTTTTTCCCAGGGCATTTCTGGATTTGCGTTGATTGCTCGTTGTTTCGGCCAGTTCGTCATTAGGGAGTTGGGCAAACCCTGTGACCCAACCCAGGGCGTACTTCCAGGAAGCGGCATGAACTCCTGGACCGATTGAATCGGGACCTGCGGCCCAAAGATGTAAAAGGGCCCGAATACTGTTCCCACTGTACTACATCATCGATCCCATTCCGTTACATTACATTACGTTCCGCATCCTCGCCCCTCCTCCTCCTCCTCACCCTCCTCCTCACCCTCCTCCTCCTCCTCCTCCTCCTCCTCCTCCTCCACCTCCTCCTCCTCCTCCACCTCCTCCTCCTCCTCCTCCCCTCCCATCCTCTTCCCTCCCTGCCAGTCCCATGCCCATCCCCCATCCGTCCTCCCGCCCGACCCTCCTCGAAGGCCACCAGCGGCGGCCCCCCCGGCGAGTGAACGTGCGCCGCGACCAGCAGGCGCATCAGCATGGAGCGCCAGGGCTGCTCACGCCCGCCTTCGGGCCGTCAATCGGAAGAAGCAGGGCGGAGGAGATTGAGGAAGACGAGGCGCGTGTGGGCGGCGCGCAGAAGGGGGTAGGGGGAGACGGGAAGACTTCTCGGAAGGAGGCTGCTTCTAAGAAGCCTTCCCCCCTCCCCCTCCCCCCATTTGCGCGTGGCTGGGGGCGAGCTCGAGGAGGGCAGGGAGGATGTCAACGATAGATCGGTGCAGGGTGCTCGATAATGAGTAGCGGATGAGCCGATGCCTCATCTGCTGATAATGCTGTTCGCTGTTCGCTCGCCTGCGCGTCACTGCGTCCCTCTCCCAGCTGTCGGTCCGGACCAACGCAAATCCAATCGCGTGATCAACATCAGTAGCTACGCACGAGGAGGAGGAGCAGGTGGACGACGAGGGCCTTGAGGATCAGGGCGAGGACGAGGACCCGGAAGATAGACGAGCCTGGCGACAGATGGGGAGCCTGCAAACTTGAGGGATCTATGAGTGTCTTCTGACGCGCGTGCGACACGTTCAATTTGCTCGTCTGCAGCTGCTACCGCCTGCACGTCCCGTTTAGTATCCTCCTCCCGCTCCTCCTGCTCCTCCTGCTCCTCCTGCTCCTCCTGGGCCTGATCCTCCACCTCCTCCTCCTTCTCCTCCTACCTCCCTCCTCCTCCGCCTCCTCCTCGTCGTCCTCATCCTCCTCCTCATCCTGCTCTTCCTCTTCCTCCTCCTCCTCGTCCTCATCCTGCTCCTCCTCCTCCTCCTCCTCTCCTCCTCCTCCTCCTCCTCCTCCTCCTCCTCCTCCTCCTCCTCCTCCTCATCCTCCTTATCCTCATCCTCCTTACCCTCCTTCGCTTCGCTTTGCTCTGTGGGAACGCCAGTCAATGCCTGAAGCGCCCCAAACAACACCGCGGGCCGCCACCGCTCGGGCCCGCTCACACCTTGGAGGTGGGTGGAGAACCCTCCCCGGTCACGACTCCCAGAGGGGGAGGCCCCAGCCGGCGAGGCTGAGGGGGGCCCACAGGAGACCTGCGCAACCAGGGAGGGCAAGAAGAGAGGCACGGCAGAGCCAGTCCCCCGGACAAGACTCCCAGGCGAGGGACCCCCGGCCGGGAAGGCTGGGTTGCTCGTCAGGAGACCTGCTCATCCAGGGGAAGGGGCGGAATGCAGTTCCCCCGGGGCCCCGGTGCACCGCCAGACACCGAGGCACCCCTCCAGGGACATCCTCCTTACCCTCCTCCCCTTCCTCCTCCTCCTCCTCATCCTCCTTTTCCTCCCATCCTCCTCGGCTTCTTCTGTTCCATACTCCTCCTCCTCCTCCTCCTCCTCCTCCTCCTCCTCCTCCTCCTCCTCCTCCTCCTCCTCCTCTGTCCTCCCTCCTGCCAGCCGCGGCGGCCTTCCAGCCCGGTGGGCTCCGTGGGCGAGGTGACGTACATGGAAGTGGAGGCGAACGAGGCGGTCGGGGGAGATCTCGGCACGCGCAGCATGTTTCCTGTGGCTGGCGGCGGCGCCTCCTCCCTCTCCTGCCCGCCCCCCCTCTCCGCACTCATCCCCCCCCCTCCCGCTGCAGGCCACTTTACAAGACTGGGCGGCGTCGGCGTTTCTTCACGTTGACGTTCATCATCACCTCCACCATCTAGGAGCTCTGAACGATTTTTTTCAGTTGACATCGACATAGGAAAGAAGCCTAAGAAACTGTCCTGGGGGTCTACATGAATGTCCGCCACCGTGCCGCGAGGCACTGCGTGGAATACCCTCACGGCCCTTCTCAGTAGTGAGAACTTGTCTGTACAACCTTTTTTTATTAACAAAAAAAAAAAAAAATGAATCGAAAGCCCAAGCCCAGGATTCTCGGAATGCTCCAGCGCTCCCGGGCGTTGCCAGGGCTCCCCTCGCGACTGCTCTACAAGAAGAAGGCCCAGGGGAGCGTGGTGGGGCCTTCTGAGATGGCCCCCAAGGATTAGATGCTCATTCTGGGGACCTGCCTGGAGCCACTCGCTCCACTCGTGCGTCGAAGCTGCGTCGAACCTGAGAAGAACCTGAGTCGAACCTGAGTCGAACCTGAGTCGAATCTGAGTCGAATCTGCGTCGAACCTGAGTCGAACTTGAGTCGAACCTGAGTCGAACAGATCCATCAAGTGGGCCCCAAGAAGGTCCCCAAAACGAGCATCGAACAAGGACTGTCCCAGGTCTCTTGGGAGCATCTTGGGTCGTCTTCGAGGCCCCTGGGGATGGCCCAACAGACGAACAGCATGGAAATCCAACTGAACGCGCACGATTTCCGCACACGTGCCCGCATGTGAAGGGGCCCTGGGACACACAAATAAATACACACAAATAAAAATATTCCCCATATTTCCCCGTATTTTCTGGGTTTCTGTCTTCCCCCCCACTTCCCATATGTTCCCATATTTTCTGGGGAATCGAGGATTAATTGTGTCTGTGTGTTTTTCCCCTTCCTGAGCATGTTCGGCCATGAGGGTGTCCATGACAACCCAAGAGGAAGCGAAGATCGCCAGAGGAGGGCCCCGAGGCCTCCGACAGGGGGCGCTCAAAAAAGCCTTTTAGGGCTCAGGAAACGCCAAGATGGCCCCCGTCACCGCCAGGCCCCCAAGGGGCCCCAGGGGACCTCCAGAGGCCCCCAAGGGGTAAAAGGCTACTGGGAGGCCCCCAAGAGGACTCCAAGAGTCCCCCAGCAGGCTTTTTCCCGAGGACGACCCCAGGAAGGCCCCAGCACGGCCCACGAAGGGACGCCTGGGGCAGGCCAAGAGACGGCAGTCGATGGCAGCCCTCGACGGCGCGCGAAGGCCCGAAGAGGGCCGCAGCACGGCCCAAGAGGGGCCCGGGGCCGTCCAAAAAGACAGCAGCTGGGGCCCCAGTACGGCCCACGAGGGACCCCTTGTTGGACGCCCGAGTTATCCGGGGTAACTCGGGTCCGGGGTAACTCGGGCTTGGATTCCCGAAAAACGAACCCGAGTTAGCCCTGACCCGAGTTACCCCTGATGATTCGGGGCTCTGGACGCCCGAGTTATCCGGGGTAACTCGGGTCCGGGGTAACTCGGGTTTGGATTCCCGAAAAACGAACCCGAGTTATCCCTGACCCGAATTACCCCTGATGATTCGGGGCTCTGACCTTGGGCCGTCCAGGAGACAGTCAGTCGATGGCGGCCCCCCGGACGGCGCACGGAGGCCCGCAGAGGGCCGCAAGACGGCCCGAGAGGGGCCCGGGGCCGTGCAAAATGCAGGGGCCCTGGGACACACAAATAAATACACACACACAAATAAAATGATTCCCCATAGTTCCCCATATGTTCTAGGTTGTTGTCTTCCCCCCCACGTCCCATAGTTTCCCATATGTTCCGGGGAATCGACGATGAGTTGTGTCTGTGTGTTTTTCCCCTCCTGACAAAAGACAGCAGATGGGGACGCAAGGCGGCCCAAGAGGGGACCCGGACAGTCCAAGAGACAGCCGGCGGGGCCCAGGATGGCCCGGGCCTAAGACAGTCCCAAGACGGCCCTTCTGCGCCGACACGCAGAGCACGGCGCTTGCACGGTGGCGGAGCTTACCGCGGGCAGCTGCATAGCCGTGCTTATTGCCTGTGTAGCAAGCGAGCGAAAGACCACCTCTACGAACAACCGTCGGGGCCTGACCAAAACCTGGTGGGTGAAGCCATAGCCTCAGTGATACAGCAGAAGATGCATGGGAAGCGCGAGACAAATAAGGATGTGAAGAAGGGGAGCAGGAGGCCAGGTTGCCAGGGGAGAAGGAAACCTTACGTGTACCAATTGTGCCAAAAATAGCCAGGTTGCAACTTCTCTCGTCTCACCGCTGCTCGCTGAGACCTCAATTCGGGTGCACTAGAAACTGGGGGTCCCAACACGGTGCGGTGACAAGCTGTGAGGTGGCCTCGGAATCCCCAAAGTCCTCACCGCACGGTCCGTCACCTCACGGTCTTGAGACCCTGGAGGCCCCAGTCGCCCGAGAGATCCTCGGAGATCGACCCGAGCCCCAAAACCTCCGTTCAGCACGACGCCCATGTGACTCAGCACACGGTGTCGTCACCGCACCGTCCGGAGGCCCCCGAAGATGGGCAGACCCCTCTGCAGGCCTCAGGCGCCGAAGCCGTGCAAAGGCAGGAAAACGTCAAACCGCTCAGGCCTGCATGCAGACTGGCGCCGCAGCGCCTCGTCCTCGTCTTCCCTCATCCTGGTCCTCCTCCTCCTGGTCCTTCTCCTCTCCGTCTCGACGACGACGACGAAGACGACGACGACGAACGACGAAAACGACGACGACGACGACGACGACGACGACGACGACGACTACGAACGACAACGACGAACGCCGAACGACCAACGACGACGACAACGACGATGACGACGGCGACCGATGACGACGACGACGACGAACGACGACGACGACGACGACGAACGACGAACGACGGACGGCGACGACGACGACGACGACGACGACCGACGACGACGACGACGACGACGACGACGACGACGACGGCGACCGACGAAGAACCACGACGACGACGACGAGGACGACGACCATCACAACCACCGACGACGATCGATAAACATCACAAACTCTCGGAGGCCCGCGTGAATTTCTCGGATCGGCGCTGGACTCCCGCTCCTGGCTCGTGGAGCGCGCCAGGAACAGCGCCGACCAGAGGAGTCCGAGCACACCTCCGAAAGCTGCTGTGGATGGTGTTTTGGGGAATTCGATCCTATCCATCCTCAGTCTCGTCCTCCTGGCCCGCAGGTCTCACCGTCGTCCTCGGTATATCTCCCATCCTCCGCCCCCATCATTCTCATGACCCATTTCTCCTGACTCCTCCTCCTCCTCCTCCTCCTCATCCTCTTCCTCCTTCTTCTCCCCCTCCTCATCATTGTGGGATTCATCCTTATCCGCCTCACGTTTGCTCCCCATCCTCCCGCCTCCTACTCTTCATCAACATCCCTCTCCTGCTGCGGCTGCCGGCCCCTCTTCATCTTAAGCATGCTGCACTGTCGCCGACGAACGCAATCCGCTGGCCCCCATGTGGGCCACCAGGCAGCGCGGATGCGGCTTCCTGCACCCTGCACTAGTTCCAGTTTCCAGTATCCAATGTTGTAATTCTACTTTCTGTTTACAACCGTCAATTCTTGCTGTCCGCGCGAGTCGAGGGACTGAAAACCGGTTTGTTCCGCCCACCCCCCTCCCCCCACCCCCGGGGTTCTGAGAATTCCCTGAGGGTTCTAACCACGCGTGAAAATGCGTGAGATTCGCGCCCCCGAGGCCATAATCCAGTGTAGATTATGCAAGATTCGCCGCCTCGAGTCCAGAATCCTTTAGAAATGATGCCAGATTGCTCTCCCGATTCCAGAATTCTGGATAAACTGCTGGCGATCCCGAAGCCAGAGTCCTCTGCAAATAACACCAGGTTCGCGCTTCCGAAACCAGAAACTTGATACGCTGCGCCAGATTAGCACTCCCGAGGCCAGAATCCCTCGCAGATTACATCAGGTGCGCGCTCCCGTGAGCAAACTCCGTGATAGCTTGCGCCGGAGTGGCGCCCCCGAAGCCCAGAGTCCCTCTGCCAAGCACACTCGGCTCGCGCTCCCAAAAACCAGAATCCACAGCACGCTGAGCGAGTCTCGACCTCCCAAAAACTAGCATCCATAGCACACTGAGCGAGTCTCGAGCTCCCGGAGCTAGAATCCATGGTACACCTCACCAGAGTCGCGCCCCCGACGCGCGAGAATCCGGCTGCAAGCTTGGCAGAAGTCGCGCTCCCGAGGCCAGAATCCGCGCTGTAAGTGGCGCCAGGCTCGCGCTCCCGAGGCCACGATCCTTCGTACACGACGTTACGTCTACCCATCGTCCTCACATGAGGTTCTGAGATTGTTTCATGTCGGCGCCCAATCATCCTAACACAGCTCTGGCTGGTCCCGTTCTGATATAGAGGAGGCCGGCGGCAGAGTGCGAAGCCCTACAGAGATCGTGCTGCCACGGCAATCGTCACTGCCACGGCAATCAACAACAAGAGAAACACTGCACTTCATGACAGTATAAACAAAAACAAGTCCTCACGATGTTTTGAAACGGACGCCCGCTATGCGAGATAGCCCAGGTAACGACTGGGCCGCCTCTTTTCCTCCTCCTCCACCTCCTCCTCCAATTCCTCCTCCAATTCCTGCTCCTCCTCGTTTCCTCCTTCTCCAACTCCTCCTCCTCCTCCTCCTCCTCCTCCTTCTCCTCCTCCTCCTCCTCCTCCTCCTCCTCCTCCTGCTTCACCGCGACCCCGGCACCCAGACCTCTTTAGGATGGGTGGCCACCAGGGTCAGGCGTGTCAGGGCGCCGTCCAGTCCCAGCAACACTATACACCCCCTCGGCCTGCGGGCAACGGCCCCTGACCCAGGCTGGGGGGGAAGCGAAACAAGCGAAAGCAACACACCTGCGAGGGCGGCCCGGGAGGGGGAAGGAGGGGGCGGGGGGCGGGGGGC